CATCTTATTGAGGATTTCACTCGTTTTCACTGACCTCTACTTTGCCAAACCTGATGTCCTTTTTAGCTCTAGATGTATTTTCATTTGGAGATGTTAATATCGGGTAAAACGAGTGTTTAGTCAGTATCTTGAGCTGAAAACTGAAAGTTTTTCTTTTTTCCATCAGTTCCTCAAGTTTTTAAAGTGCAGTGCTGCTGCCTTTGATTTTTCTAAACAAAGCCCTGGTAGCACAGTGGTTAAATGCTCAGTTGCCAGCCAGAAGGGTGGTGTTCCAAACCCATCCATCGGCTCTGCAGGAGAAAGACCTGGCGATCTGCTTCTGTAAAGATTGCAGCCTAGAGAACCCTATGAGTCAGTTCTACTCTGTCACCTGGGGTTGCTGTGAGTTGGAATTGACTCGACAGCACCTAACAACATCTTTTATTTTTGGTTGATTTTAAAACTCAATGTTGAGTCAGGACTTGTTTTAGAGCTCTGTACCATAGTGTCCCCACACACACCTCAGTTCTAAACCTGCCTGTCCAGTGCAGGGCCACTAGCCGTATGTGACTGTTGACACTTGAAACGTGGCGAGTCCAAACTGAGATGTGTTGTCAGTGTACAATAATGACTGATTTCAAAGACTTACTATGAAAAAAAACCAAACACCAAACCCGTTGCCATCGAGTCGATTCCAACTCATAGTGACCCTATAGGACAGAGTAGAACTGCCCCACAGGATTTCTAAGGAGTGGCCGGTGGATTCAAACTGCTGACCTCTTGATTAGTAGCCAAGCTCTTAACCACTGTGCCACCAGGGCTCCTAGTATGAAAAAGAGAATGTAAAGTATTTGTAATTTTTTGTATTGATTGCATGTGGAAATGATAATATTTTTAATATGTTGGTTCATTTCACTTTTCTTTTTACTTTGTTTTGTTTTAACGTGGCTACTAGAAAGTTTAAAATTACCTGTGGTCACATTTGTGGCTTGCGTTAAGTTTCTGTTGGACAGTGGTGTTCTAGACTCTGAATTATCTTCAGTACCTGGGAAGCAGCCGGAGGTGAAGACTGTTAGAACAATTGTCACTAACTTTTTAGATCTGTTTTTCCCACAAGAACATCATCAGTCACCATTGACCAGTTTCCTAAATCCACAGAGTAAATAAAGACCCTTCTTAGGTTTTTAGTCAGGCGTTCAAGAAAATTGCTCCCTTTTATTGTCCTTTGTTTTTTGGCTTTTCATAATTGCATGATTGGGATTTTTTTTTTTTTTTCATCTTTTAAAAGATCGTTTTAGTGACTGGTTATCCTTAAACACCCGTGGCAACTTCCTCAGACGTTTTTTATCGTCTCGGTTGGTAAGAAGGAGTCTTCAGGTCTGCGTCTAGACAGTTAGGAGGGTTCTCTGAGGTAGCCGCTCATTCTGGGGTACCAGTCAGGGGCCTGCATATGTCTGTTGTTAGCTGCCATCAAGTCAGCTCCAGCTCGCGGTGACCCCAGGTACAGCAGCGAAACGTCGCCCAGTCCTGCACAGTCTTCACAATCGTTAGTATGCAGGAGTCCACTGGTTGCAGTACTGTGTATTTTGAGGGCCTTCCAACCTAGGGGCTCAGCTTCCAGCACTGTATCGGACAGTATGCTGTTGGCCAGTTTTTGGAAATAGATTGCCAGGTCTTTCTCCCTAGTCTGTCTTAAAGTGGAAGCTCC